AGGCAACCAATAGATGTGCTTCTCTCACCTTGATGTTTCCCTCTGTCTTTCCCACTCTCTTAAAAAAAAAAAAAAATCAATGGGAAAATATCTTTGGGTGAAGATTAACAGAGAAAAAAAAAGAGCGAGAGCGAGAGCGAGAGCGAGAGCGAGAGCGAGAGCGAGAGAGAGAGAGAGAGAGAGAGAGAGAGAGAGGTGGAGAATGTTCTAGGGAGAAAAAAAGAGCATGTATCAAACAAAGGAAAAGTCTGTGCAGGCAAAGGACAAAAGTTCTGGTTGGCAAGTCTGGAGTGCAGAGTGGATGGGGTAGAGACAGAGAGGGGCAAGTAGTGACTGGAGGAGCGATCAGGAGCTACACCATGAAGGATCTTAATGAGCAAAGCCGGGACTTTGTTAACAAAACTTACAGGAAGCATTTGAGCTTTAAGGAGAGAAAAGGGACTAGTGTAAAGAGTGGATTGGAGGGAGACAAACCTGGGAGCAGTTACTTTCAGAGGATTGGAGACGGTGGCAATCTGACACTCATCTGCCCCTATAAATGTGTCCACATAAGACACCGCAGGGCTTGGGTTTGCTTAACCTCAAGCGAATGGGATATGCGCTCCAAGAAGCTAATTACTTTGATGGAAAAGAGACACAAGATGCCTATATTTTAATAGGGACCAGGGTGTGGGAGGAAGTGAAACACAGTGCTAGATGGGACAGCTTCCAAGAAGAGTAACGTCTAGTTATGGGGGGGTCGGGAGCCAAGAAGGGAAACAAACACCTTAAAGTCTTGCTAAGTACATCTTGCTTGGTGTGATGTGTGTGTGACGCAGTGCGTGTTTAGGACAGGGCCTGGCTTCTGTGTGAAGGCGCTAAGTGCTGGGGGTGTGTGTCGGGGAATGGAAGTTTGTGGTGGGAAGTTCGTCCTGAGCCTTTGTTAATGTGCAGAACTCTGGAATGCACACCGTGCAAGTACGTACCTGCAGCAAAAAGGGAGATGCGTGCAGCGTACGCTGCGGGAGAACACAGCCCTCAGACGGTCTGTGTCTCTAACAGAACAGGCGATGGGTTCTGTTCCAATCCAGATATTCTTTTGGTTTTGCGCACAGAAGGCACTCACGTATCTGTCGAGTGAATGATTGTTTTTCACTTCTATTAAGATCCAGTCATTTGTGGAAATCTGTAGATTTGGTTACATGTTTGCACGGGACATTTTAAGAGAAATAAACTCAACTGCCAGCCAGGCACCAACATCCATTTACAAAATCTAGCAGTTTAGATCCTGTAATGGAGTGTCTAGGCTAGCTCGAGTCCTGGCTCGTGTAAAAAACGTTCCCTGTTTCGTTTTATCCCGCAGACACTGACTGGACACTGCGGCCACACAGGCAGCGGTGAACTGGTGCTGGTGGAACTCATTGCCCTCTCCTCTGAGCCGCATTAGTCTGGGCGCTGCAATTAAGCTTAATTACATGCTATCTTGTATTGTTCCTTAATTGTTGCATGTGCATTAATCCATTTCCTACTAGGTTGTAGGTTCCTTAAGGGCAGAGGCCACATACTATAAACCTCCGGATAGGCGAGGGACTTAGCAGAGAATGTACACAAGTGAGTAAACACCCACGGATGGAGGCAAAAGGAAAACAAGAATATGTACAGGTAGCTGTTTATGTACTATAGTGAACGTAATATATAAGGCACCTTAACAAAAAGGGAGCATACATTGCTGCTAGTTAATGAAAACATTCCTTTAAAGATGAAATGTAAAATTCCAGCCTGTGTTTTCATGTTAAGGGAAGGGTTTGTGGCCCTAGACGGTTTGGCTCAGTGGATAGAATGTCAGCTCACGGACTGAAGGGTCTAGGGTTCAATTCCAGTCAAGGGCACCTACCTCTGTTGCAGGCTGGATTCCCAGCCCTGGTCAAGGTGCATATGGGAGGCAACCAATGGATGTCTTTCTCACATTGATGTTTCTCTCCCCATTCCTTCTACTCTCTTAAAAAAAAAAAAAAAAGCCAATGGAAAAATATATCCTCAGGTGAGGATTAACAACATCAACAACAACAAAAAGGGAAGGGTTTGTGTGCTAACATAATTGCTATGATCCTCAAAATGCCTTCATTTTTTATATTCTTTTCAATGCAAAACAAGAATGTTTCCTTGAGGTTGAGAATTAAGAGGTAGAATCAGTATTTGGTTAATTATTCGATAGCAGAATTATCCTATAACTGGATTTATCAACAATGGCACTATTGATATTTTAGGTAATCTTTTGTTGTCCGTGTGTGTGTGTGGGGGGGGGCGTTGGGGAGGTGGGGGGGGGCTGTCCTGTGCGTTGTAGGGTATTAAGGAGCATTGTGAGCCCATACATGTTAGATGCTAGTTGCACCCCCTCTTTTATAACTGTCAAAACTGTCTCCAGACAGTTCCCTCAAAAAAAAAAAAAAAATTAACAATAGAACTACCATATGACCCAGCAATTCCACTTCTGGATATATATCCGAAGAGATCCAAAACATTAATTCGAAAAGATATATGCACCCTTATGTTCATTGCAGCATTATTTTACAGTATCCAAGACATGGAAACAACCCAAGTGCCCATCAACAAACAATTGGATAAAGAAGATGTTGTACATATATACAATGGAATGCTACTTGGCCATGAAAATAGCGCCACCTTGCCCTTTGTGCCAACATGGATAGACCTAGGCAGGGGTCCTCAAACTTTTTAAAGTGGGGGCCAGATCACGGTCCCTCAGAGAGCTGGAGGGTTGAACTATATGAACTACTAATTCCTACTGTAACACCTCGGCTGCACTCACTGCCCAAAAAACCTGGCGGGCCGGATCAGACTCCTCTGCGGGCCGCATGTGGCCCGCGGGCCGTAGTTTGTAGACGCCTGCTGGTATTATGCTGAGTGAAGTGAGTCGGACAGAGAAAGACAAACATCAATATGATTTAACTTATAGAACAAAATAAACATACCGACAAAACGGAAACAGACTTAGATACAGAAGGCTGCCAGATGGGAGAGGGTTTGGGGGCGGGTGAAAAAAAAAATGAAGGGATTAAGAAGTGCAAATTTGTAGTTACAAAATAGTCAAGGGGATGTAGTCTATATTGTAATAACTATGTATGGTGCTAAGTGAATACTAGAATTATGGACAGGGTCACTTTGTAAACTATACAGTTGCCGTACACCTGAAACTAATTAAAATAATATTGACTGTCAACCGTCATTGAAAGAAATGGGATATATACAAGTTAAGATATTTTCAAAATAGTGAGAGAAGAAAAAAGTCTCCAGACATTGCTCCCAGTTGAGAACCAATGCTCTATAGGCAATTTGGTTCTACCTCTGTTTCCCAGAAAATAAGACATCCTCCGAAAGTAAGACCTAGCGCATGGAAAGATAAGACATCCCCTGAAAATAAGACCTAGCGCAACTTTGGGAGAAAAAATTAATATAAGACACTGTCTTATTTTCGGGGAAACAGGGTGTGTATGTATGTGTGTGTATATATATATATATATATATATATATATATATATATATATATATATATATTAAAGCAATGCTGGGAATTATGGGAAAGGAAATAATACTTATTGCTTCTTTGTTCCAAGCTAGGAATTATGCCTATGTTTTTAAGAAAGTTTTGTCTGACAGACGAAGTTGAGATTCAGCGAGATAAAGGAAACTGCTGGAGACCGTAAAGCTTGCTCAGCAGTTAAATCAGTATTGCACGCCAGGCTTGTCTGCTGGCAAAGCCTCTGCTCCCTTCCAGCACACTCCCCACGGCCACTCGGCAAGAAAAACAGGGTGCCTCACACGGACGGCTCACTGTGCATTCAACAAGTTTGCCCCCAAGTATTTAGAAACTTTCTGGTACAGGGAAATCATTCCTTTGCTAGTCATTACACGTATTGTAACATAACAACAGGCCCACACCTGGAGACCCTGGGACCCTTCCCTACGCAGGGCCTCCGGTCTTATCTCGGAAAAACAGAGCAACACAATGGAGCAGCTTAATGCTCCTCCTTACAACTTCTACAAAAGCCAGAGCCTAACGGTGCCAAAAGCAACCGGCCTTGTTTACATAAGGGCTGAAAGCTAATCGTTAACTTTCTCCCCGTCCAGAAGAAAAAAAAGTAAATAACGCCTCGTTTTACAACTACACAGGAGCGAAATGTGTAAAACGACATGAAATGGAGGAGAAAACATTAAATCAAAAGAAAAAAATGGAAAGGTTGATTGCAACTGCTCCCTCTCATTCCCCGGCGGTCCAGCTGCGCAGCCCGGGTCCCTCCGGCCCCCGCCCCACGCCCGTCCGGGGCGCTGGGGGCACTCCGGCTCCCTTTCCCGCCCGGGGCAGCGCGGCTTCCCTCGAGGAGCCCGTCCCAGAGCCAGGCCTGGGAAAAACAACAGCAAGAAACTTTGGCCAGGTTGGCGGCTCCGTGAAAAAAAAAAAAAAAAAAAAAAAAAAAAAAGCAAAGCACTCCAGTTTGGTTCGGGGCTGTTGCCGCCGGTTCCGATTTGGGGGTGGGGGTTGGGGGGTGGGTCACCCCTGGGTCAGGTTCAATGGCGTTCGTGCGCGGGGAGCCGCCGGGTAACTTCTGGAGCGCCCCCGGTCTCCAGGGGGTGTGCGCCCAGGCGCGCGGGGGGCGCGCGGGGAGGGTGCGGGCGCGCGGAGCTGGCGAGGGGCGCGCAGGCCGCGGGCACGCGCGCGCGGAGCCTGGGGCTGGGGGCGGGGTGGGGAGGGCGGTCGAGGGGGGGGGGGGGGGGGGAGAGGAGGGAGGGGGTGTGTGTCCCCGAGTCTGGCTCGTTCACTCGCTGGCGGGCGCGCTCTTCCGCTCCCTTCCGCGGGCGGGAATCCGGGCCGGGTTGTGGCCGCGGCCGCGTACGTGAGCGCAGAGTCCCGGGGAGGGAGGGGGGCGGGCAGGCCGGCCAGGTGGGCGCGAACGGAGCCTGGGCGGGCGAGCGGCGGCCGGAGCGGAGCGGAGCCGGGCGGCGGGCCGCGCACAGCCGGTGGGTGGTGCAGGGGCGACGGCAGCTGCAGGCGGGAGCCGAGCCGAGCTGTCCGAGCCGAGCGGTCCGGCCTGCGCTGCTGCTGCTGCTGCTGCTGGCGAGGCGAGGTGAGCTGAGCTGTGCCGGGACCTCGCAGCGCTGCAGCGCCGAGCCCGGGGGCGGCCTGAGAACTTCCCACGCTCCGCACGCCCTCGGGGGGAACCGGGGAGCGGGCCGGGGCCTGAGGGCCCGGGAGGCCGGGGCGCGGGGGGCACTGGCGGGTCGGGGCGCGGGGCCGCTGCGGCGGTGCCCGCGCTAGCTGGCTGGCTGGCTGGCTGGGGGTGGCCGCTCGCTCGCTCCCCCGTGTGCCGTCTTGTTTATTTCGCTCGCGGCTGGCGCTCGCCGAGGCACCCCCTCCCTAACTTTGAACGGTTGTCCGGAGTCGCTTCTCCCCGACGGAGAGGGAACTGCCCCCCCCTCCCCCCTCGCTGACCCTTTCCGGCTGGGCCCGCGCGTTCCTGCCCACTCTACCGAGCGAGCGAGCGCTGGGCTCCGGGGCGCGCGGCGCGACAGACACACCCTCTACCTCGGGCGCCGCCCCCCTGCCCCCCCCTTTCTGTCCTCTTCTGTCCACCCCCACTTCCTTCCGTGCGGTTAGCTCTGCCTCTCCTCACTGGTGGCCCCTGACCCTCCCTAGGAGCTGGCACTGTGGGCATGGGGGGCTGCCCGCTGGGGGCCCGGATGGGAGAGTTTGTCATGTGCAAACAATTTTAAAGGCAGGCTTTTCTTCCCTGCCTTGGAGTTCAGAGCGCAAGCCAATCCTAAATCCAAGTTTAGGATTGGCTCAGGGACCTAGAGAAGCCCACCTGCCAGGCGGGCGAGGGGGTGCTGCCGCCTCGCCTCTGTGATTTCTGGCAGCCCTGGCCAATTCCTGGTGTCTCTGGAGCGCTTCCACCGGCGGGCATGGTGCCAGGCTGCCAGGCGCAAGGGTTGCCAGTGGGCCGCCACTAAGTTCTTGACACTCCTCTCTCCAGAAAAAGTATATGTGGTCTAGTTTGCCTGAGAGCGAGTGATCCACAGATACCCAAGGCCTTTTTGACACCCTCCTAAGGTGTTGTGTACACAGAGGTTTTGGGTCCCAAGGAACTTGAAACGCAAGGAAACACAGCAGTTCCGTTCAACTCCACAGGCACTTGTGAGGAGCTGCGTGCTCTCAGCGCCAGGCCAGGCTCTCTGTGAGAGGACAAGAGGCACACAGATCGAAGGCCTTAGAAAGCCTGCTGTCCAGGTGAAAGCGATTTCTGACCAACTTAATGTGTTGTGGCCTCCTAAATTCTGTACATGCCGGGGGCAGGGAGCCATATCAAAGGAAAGGTTAGCGTTGGGGAATGGACGGACAGTACTACGCTCTGACATAAGTTGCGCACTGGGGATGACTCACTGGCAGAGGCCCAGAGGCAGGAGGGGAAGAAGTAACAGGTGCAAGAGGCTGCAAAGGGGCTCCCAGCAGAGAAGACGTTCAGACAGGGATCCCAGGGAGGGAGGGTACAAGGGACACACGAGATGATGTCTGCTGGGGATTATAAACTCAGGAAGGAGACGAGAAGACCAGAGCAGGTAAAGTACAACTCAAGAGAGTGCACGATTCATTTAAATGTGGAATGTATAGAAGAAGTGCTGTTTGAGTTCAGAGACTCACCAGGTCTGTATTCCTGGAAGACGAGACCCTTGAGACGGGCTTCGAGGTGCGAATGAGCATGGCTTTTCCGAGAGACTGACAAGGAGACGGCCTTGGCCAGACCAAGGGAACATTTCCTGAACGGCAGGAGATAAAGATGGAGAGGAACAATGGTCGAGATTGTAAAAGTGCTAGGAAGCCAGGCTGGGAATGACACTTCACCCTGCGTACTGTGGAGGTATTCAAGTGCTTGAGCCAGGGAGTGACATAATGAAAGGGTAGTCGGAAGGGTTTTAAAAAGTGATAATGGGAGACACATCAGTTAGGCAGCTACTACTGTGGAGTGCCCAGGGTTTGGACCGGGATAACTGGAGATGGAAAGAAGGATGCGTTTTAGAAACAGTAACATTGAAATAATCCGTTTGACAGGGGCAGGATGAAAGGAAGAAATAGACGGAAATTAATACCTTGTGGAAACCAATTGCATGCCAAGGCCTTGGAGTCGCTGTACTACCCTGCTTCCCCGAAAATAAGACAGTGTCTTATATTAATTTTTGCTCCCAAAGATGCGCTAGGTCTTATTTTCAGGGGATGTCTTATTTTTCCATGAAGAAGAATACAGTACACATTTATTGTTAAATGAAAATAAAGGAAATTTATTACCTGTATACGGTACGGTAGTACGGTAGTTGTCAACACAAACCAGACAAACTGTGAATCCTACAGTATCAAGAATTTACTCATTTATTCAATGACAATCATGTCATCATCTTCTGGAACATCATCATAACAATCCAATTCCTGAATTTCCTGGTGAATTTCTTGTGACTCCATTTCTTTCTGAATCGGTGGACCAAATCTCTCATGTTTAGCAATAGCATTCTGAGACAGAGCCAGGGGGAGGGGGGGGGCCTTATTTTCGGGGGATGCCTTATATTTCACTCAGAAGGAAACCTGTAAGTAGGTCTTATTTTTGGAGAATGTCTTATTTTCGGGGAAACACGGCAGTAGTTGGTAACTCGAGAAATTGAGAAGTTGGAAATGTGTGTTTTGGAGAGAAGTAATTGACACTCAGGCTGCAGAGAAGTTTTGTGTTTGTCAAGACATCCAAACATAGGTGTCCTGCAAGCGACTGTGACTCTGAGATTGGGGCAGGGTGAGCCAGGATGTGGAGTGTAGAAAAGGCTGCCAAGGCTGGGAGACGGAAGGCACCCCGGAAATAAGTGGGATGTCGTCTTGGTCATAGGGAGGGAGTAGAGGATGCTAGTGAGGGTCCGAATTGTTAGCCTCTGTTCTGTATTGCTATTCAAATGACATCTCCTGGTCCTGACCCTGCAGTTGGCCAAACTACTCTGGAAAACTGAAGGTCCAAGGAGAATGGGCTGCTTATTCTTCTAGCCATGAGTGTGATGGAAAGCGGGGTTAGGGGGTGGGGTAGAATGGAATTTGCTAAAGACATACATGGCTGGGTTTTGAAACGAGCTGAACTTGCTCTCCACTGAGAACCTCAGGCTAGTCCTGGTGTCCCACTTATGGGCGGAGGTGGGGAGCAGCTGGATGACCTAAAGGAGCAAGGAGGACGTTTTGGGCTTAGGGATACTGCCTTTCCCAGAGCCAGGCCAATCCCCACCTGAACCATTACCAGTCCCCAGGAATCCAGCCACCTGCCTGCAGAGGTCTTTCCTGAGCTCTGAATTCTGCTTTCTTGTTGCAAGGGGGACTGGGTGATTTGCTGAACAAATTCCCCAGGCCTCAACTTGCAACATCTGAGGGCTGGTGAATGTGAAGGATGATTGCAAAAAGTTGCAGAATGAGTGGAGAGTGTAATTGCATTTCCTTAGCCTCTCTGTTTCTTTGAGATGTAGGATCGGTGATCTCGCAGGGGAAGTGACTTGCATAGGCAGAGGTGTCCATCAGATTTTTTCTTTTCTTTTTTAAAAAAAATATATATTTTTATTGATCTCAGAGAGGAAGCGAGAAGGAGAGAGAGAGGGAGAAACATCAATGATGAGAGAGAAACATTGATTGCATTGATTGGCCGCTTCCTGCGTGCCCCACACAGGGGATCAAGCCCACAACCCAGGTATGTGCCCTTGACTGGAATCGAACCTGGGACTCTTCAGTCTGCAAGCTGATGCTCTATCCGCTGAGCCAATCTGGCTAGGGCTATTTTTTTTTTTTTTCTTTATAGGGAATATATGATGGTCAAAAAAATTGCACAGAGCAGTAGTGCTAATTCACTCTTTATAGAACAGTGTTTTCTGCTCTCTCATGGCCTAGTCCACTCTTATCATGTATGTAAAAATCTAATTCAAGTTAATAAAATACTACTTTCCTTGGCTTGGTACAGTCTCCTCTGCTACCTTTATTTTCTATTCTATTATTTTTCATTTAAAAAATATTTGTCTCCCACTACATTGATGTAGCCACTCTGTAATGGATCCTTCCCCACAGTTTGAAAAACACAGTTACAGAGAATTTTCACACCTTGTGTTTGCTAAGCTGCTCGTGCAGAGCTACCCTTATTAGTGCTGTGGGTGGAAGGAAGCATGAGGAAGAAGCTGGAAGTTGACAGGCCAGTTGGAGTGTTAGGATCGAGCTATGGTTACAGAGCAGAGCAAAATGATTAAATGCCACATGAACAATAGCTACCCACCGAGTTCAGAGGAAGGGGTGAGCAACCTGTGCTGGAGGGGCTTGGGAAAACTGTTTGGAATAGGGAAGGAAGTCTGGGCTACACCTTTGCAGGGGTGTCTTATGGCTGCACAGGTGGGAGGTGTAGCATGGGCAAAGACCTGGAGTTGGGGATGTACATGGCGCGTGCAAGAATAATGAGCAGAGCGAAGGCAGAATCAGGTTGGCAAGGGGGGTTAGGATTAAAGCATCATGTAGGGGTGATAAGTACGTGGCCCAAAGAATATGTTCCGTCTTCCGACGTGTTGTAATTTGGACTGCCCAAAGGTTTTCATAGCCTGGGAGAGATCCAGAAAACCTCTGGATTTGGGATTGCCTTAAAGAATCCCGTCAGGCAGGCTTCTAGAACCGAGTGGTGGCTGCTCCCTGGGTGTGGGAGACAGGTCTCGTGGTCTCCAGGTGTCATAGTCCCAGTGCTCCCTGTTGCCTCAGTCCAGTCGCTTTACGTCGATGCTTAGTCCTGCAGGTCTTTGGGTGTGTGACCTGCATCTTCAAGAGGATTCAGGGAGGAGTCTGACCTGACGGAATCTCCAATGTTCGTGTGCATAAATGATTTACTGTAGGCGAGTGCACAGCACTTTCTGAGTTGCTATGGGCTGGGACTTGGCAACATTGTTTTGGTGGGTTGGAATGGCACTTATTGGAGGGCTTTGTGACATATTTTCTATAGTGAGACAATTTTCTAGTGACCCCCAGATCTCCCAAGCATTCCTCCTTTCCACTACTACCTGCCACGGTTAGATGGAGGCCCCTGGC